CTCCCCACTCTCCTGTGGGGACAGGGATGGGTCACTAAGCTGGGGGCAACTAGGTCCCTGGCACCCAGGGTTGGCCAGGGGCACCATGGTGCCGCTTGGGGACCCTCTCCCACCCCAGACCCTACCTCTATTTTCTTGTTCTTCTCCTGGGCAACGTCCGACATCCCCTTCAGCACCTGCTTGGCCTGGTCATCCTGGGCAGAGTCCTTGCGCCGCCGGAGCCGCATCTTGCGGGCCAGTGGGTCCTTGGTGCCGCTCCCTGGGGCCAGGGGGCCGGGGTGAGAGGCAGCCAGGACACCCATGCCTTGCGTGGGGCACGCCATGGGGCAAGGCTCGTTTCCCAGCCCCTCCCACCGCGCTGCCGAAGGCCGGGGCTCGAAAAAAACTGCACTCCTACGTGCTGCTGGGGCCGCGACGGTGGCCGGGGAGGCTCCGGCCAGGCGGAGCTGGTTCTGCAGGGAGAAGTCGATGTTGTACCACTCCGACGTCCGATCCACCGGCTTCGGGGGCATCACCAGGTTGGGGTTCTCGCGCACATCCAAGATCTGCCGAGGAGGGGACAGGAGACCTCACTGCCCTGCAGCACAGGCTCATGGGGACACTGAGGATGTGGGATGGGACGGGAGACCTCCGGAGCACCCTGGGCTTCAGCAAAGTGAGGGGAGGCTTAGATTGGATATTAGGAGAAATTTCTTCACGGAAAGAGCAGTCGAGCATTGGAACAGGCTGCCCAGAGAGGTGGTGGAGTCCCCATCCCTGGTGAGTTAAAAAAATAGGTAGATGTGGCACTTTGGGACATGGTTTAGTGGGCATGGGGGTGCAGGGTTGATGGTTGGACTGATGATCTTAGAGAGCCTTTCTAACCTTAGTGATTCCTAGTTTTTACTTTCATTAAAGGGTTGATGGTTGGACTGATGATCTTAGAGAGCCTTTCTAACCTTAGTGATTCCTAGTTTTTACTTTCATTAAAAAATAATCCAGCCCTCAAGGCAGGAAACATGAAATTGCTACTCTGCCCTTAATTGGTTTAGTGGTGGACTTGGAAGTGTTAGGTTAATGGTTGGACTGGATGATCTTAAAGGTCTCTTCCAACCTAAACGATTCTGTAATTCCATGATTCTAAGTGGAGGGAGCCCCAAATCCACCACCTGCCTGGGCTGAACCGTGTGCCAGATTGCATATATTGGGCCTAAGACCCCCCGTCCTCACCTCACCCCATCCCACCCTACAGCCCTGGGACCTCAGGGGCACACTGGGGCTGTGGTGGACCCAGCCTGAAGCGGGACAACCCCCAGTGTTGGGCTCTGACCTCCACATCCGTCAGGAAGTGGATAGCCTCTGGCAGCGTCACCAGGCGGTTCTTGTTCAGCACCAGCTTCCGCAGCTTGGAGCACCTGTGGGACACGGAGATGCTGGTGAAGGGCCAGGACAGGGTGACACCCTGTCACCCACACAGCCCCTGTGTCCCCTCTCGGGGACAAAGCAGATCAAAGCAGATAAAGTTTGGGGCTTTCCCCTACCTGCACAGGCTCTCGGGGATGAGCTCCAGGTTGTTGTTGGCCGCCATGAATTCCTCAAGGTTGGCGAGCTTGCCGATGCCTGAGGGGATGCCGTCAAAGTCGAGCTTGTTGGAGTTCAGGTACATCTTTTTCAGCTTGGTCAGCTTGCAGATGGCCGACTGGGGAAGGAGGAGATGGCAGGGTGAGGGAGAACCCCGTGGCGCGGAGGCATGGGCAGGGACGCCGTGTACGGGCAGGGACATACAGGCAAGGAGGTGAGCTGGTTGCGGGACAGGTTGAGGGTCTCCAGCTGCGTCCACTGGTCGATGCAGAGGGACAGCTCTGTGATCTGGTTGCTGCTGAGGTTGAGGCGCCGCAGGCTGCCCAGGGTGTAGAGGCACTCAGGGACGCGGCTGAGGTCGTTGCAGGACAGGTCCACATCTGGGGGAAGACAACGGGGTGACGCCGCTGGCCGGACCCACGCCAGGGCCGAGAGAGCTCCTGGAAGGCCCCTGCACACCGTGGGGCTGGTGCCCCCAGCCCTACCTGCCAGGTTCACCAGGCCCTCGAGGCTGGTGGGCAGGTTGCTCTGCGTGCGCTGGGTGTTCCTGAGGTGAAGGGTCTGCAGGGCAGTCATCGCTGGGAGCTGCCTGTGGGCCAGGAAGAACCACGGGGCAGAGACGGCATCAGGGCTGGAGCAGGCACCTGGCCCAGCCCTGCCGTTGTAGGATCCAGCCTGGAAAATGGGACCTTACCGGAGCTGAGCGTGCAGGAGAGGGTTATTGTTGAGGATGAGGGTCTGGAGGTGGACCAGGCGTCTCATCTGCGGTGGGAGGCTCTCCAGCTTGTTGTTGCTCAGGTCGAGGTAGAGCAGGTCCGTCAAGTTGATGAAGAGCTGGTTGGGGATGGTCTCGATGCTGCGGGGGATATGGGGGATCTTCAGGGCTACCCAGAACCTGCACCAGCCCTGGGTTCCCTCCCGGAGAGGGGCAGAGAGTGGGACCCAGAGTGAAGGGGGGTGATGGATGGAGGTGGCCATGGCCACAGGGAGATGGCTGCCCTGGCCCAGACCTACCTGTTGTGGCCGAGGTTGAGAACCAGCATGTTCTTGGCGTTCTCCAGCTCCCGGGGACACTCCGTGAGCTGGTTGTAGCTCAGGTCCTGGGGCAAACGGGAGAGCAAAGCGGGCATCACCCTCTGCCCCGCATCCAGCAACCACCACCCAAGCCCGAGGGGCATTTTCGGGGGCACAGCCTGCCTACAGCCACACCGGGCCTTGCCCTGCAGATCGGTGCCCAGCAGCAGGAGCTGGATGAGCATGCGGGGAGCCCAACCGCAGCATTGCTAAAGGAAGCATTGCCACAGGGTTATCCTGCCCACAGCCAGCTTCCTCGGTGCTCAGACACGGGCTCGGGAGGACTGGCGCTGAAAAAGCATGGGAGTTGTTGCTGCGGGGAAGCTAGTTATGGCCTGGACACCCAAAAGTGGAAGGGAAACGGGCAGCGCTGAGTGCTGATTTAGTCCCTGCACCTTTTCCCTGGACGCTCCTCAGCCCCCCCGTGCTCCTCGAGGGGCTGCTGAGGTGCAGGAGCAGGACACAGGAGTCTGAGCCGGCTCTCGCGTTAGCCGAGGAGACTCTGCACCTACCAGCACCGAGAGATCATCCAGCTGGAAGATATCATCAGGGACTCCCGAATTCTTCAGGCTGTTCGCACGAGCCACGATCGCCTTGAAAGGGGGAGAGAGAGGCACGACTGCTGCCGCCCGCCGGCTCTAAAAAAAACCCCCGTGGGGTGGCCTGGGATGATCCCCGCGCATCCCCAGAGCCAGGGGCTGGCTGCAAGCTGCCACCAAGCCCCGATGTAGGGGGGACGCTTACCCGGAGGCAGGGCAGGCCGGAGAGCTCGCCGTGGAGCGTAGTGAGGCTGTTGTGACTCACGGAGAGGTGCTCCTGCAAGGAAAGCCCCAGACAAGCCCCAGTGAGCAGAGAGAGGAGCCGGGGCAGCGGTCGGGCCCCTGCGCCAGTGTGGGGGCTCCTCGATCCCAGGAAAGTAGGGGGCTTGCGGAGGCACGGGGTGAGCTCAGCCCTGACCCACACACAGCTGCTGGGACGCTCCCAGTCTCAAACTGGTTGGTTGGCCCCAGTGTGCCCACGCTGCCTCTGTGCCCTTGGGGCAGAGCTGGCTGAGACACCCCAGCCCTGCTGCAGGGTTCAGGGTGCTTGGGGCTGCTACCGAGCTGGTTTGCGGCAATCCCATACGGTCCCGAGCAAAGAGACCCCCAGTCCTTGGAAATGCTTCTCACTGGGTGATCTGGAAATGGGCAGACATGGGGACCGGCAAGGTTGGAGCAGGGCCCAGGGGAAATTTTGTTTTCCTTCTGGGCATCACCAGCTGTTACCTGCTCAGGAAAATGAGGAATTGGCAGACTGTGGGCGAGATGCCAGGTTTTAAGTCTAGTCGTGGCCACCCAGCATTTGGCAGGACCGGCGGGGGCGCAGCTCCGAGCAGCACGGAGACCTTCCCCACTTGCTGCGCCTCAGCGGGGTGCACCCGGCACTGTGACGAGGACTTTTGGCAGCCTTTAAAGCGTCGCGTTGGGCCGACACCGATTTAACGATGTCTGTAATGTGCCACAGGACAACTGCCAAAGCAAAGCTTAGCCACGGACTCCACCAAGGGCCTGGTCGTGCACAAAACTCGAGCTGCCCAAAAAACAAAGCCAGGCAGCTGCCAGCTACTGCTCTTTATAACTTTTAGCAAAGGAGGAGGGAAAAAAAGGCCCAAAACCTTAATCCTCCCCACACTAAACCTTCACCCTTCCCTTCTATTAAAGGGCAGAGGATCTAAGCATGGTTTTTAGTCTGGTTTTCTAGGAAAACAAGGTGAAACCGAACACGAGTCTGTCTCAACCCCACTCCTAACAGCTCCTGCATCCAATTTCAACCACACATCGTAGCTCAGCCCTATTATTAGACACCAGAGCATCCGCCGATGAGCCACGAGGCTGGCAGGCACCAGGCTCTCGGCACCGCTGTGCTGAGCCCCGCCTGATCCCGCAGCCCCAGTGGGAGCTGTTGAGCCCCGTCCCCTGCCCGAAATGTGCCGCTCACCAGCTTCTGGAGGGCGGCGAGCTCCTCGGGCAGGTAGCAGAGCCCCGTGCGGTTCAGCTTCAGCCAGCGCAGGCTGGTCATCGCCTTCACATGCTCCGGGAAGTAGCCGCCCTGCGAGGAGGAGGAGGAGGGTGAGAAAACCACCTGCCCCATGGGGTCTGGGGACCTCAGTCTGACCGACCCTGCATGGTCAGGGGGAGGCCTGGGATCGCCCAGTCCTATGGGATCAGGAGCTGGGGGGCTGGGATTGCCCAGTTCTATGGGACTGGGAGCTGGGAGAGGCCTCAGATAGCCCAGTCCTACAGGATTAGGAGCTGGGGGGCCGGGATCGCCCA